ATAAACCCAAGGCTCTTAACCGACCAAGTAAAGGTCAGCTGAAACCCATTGTAAGCTGGAAGCACAATGTCTCAACACCTTACCTTTCCTAACTAGTGACCAGTATTCAGTTTCAGCTGGTTCATTTTTAGCCATTTAAACATAGCGGTCAAGGCAGCGGCACAAGACCTCTACTGCGTTACTAGATTTGGATAGAGAAATATAGAGCTGGGCATTGTCAATATATCTCAGCTATCTATGCTATGGCTGTCAAGCATAAGCATGTGCATGTGCATGCATGCACACTCACATGGAAGGTGACTTATTCATAGAGCTGAATGAGTTAATTATTTTCACTAGACTAGGCTTGAAAGCACGTCAGTTCCCTGGAAATTTCATGTGACGTTAACAACACATGCTGTCCCTGAGATCACAAGAAATGCATATGGGTTTACAAATAGTTCACGTAGGCTGTTTGGATGATGATTAAATGCTGCCTTTATTTATTGTGCATGATTATATTCACTTTTTGGCTCCATCTAGACTGGGTAAAAGTAGCCAGCTGTACCCCACAAAAGCCGTTCTTTTAGTCATTGTAAGCAAAGAAGTATTAAGCATCAGGGGTCATTTCCTGCGGGAGCTCACAGGAGCGGAGCTCCGGCAGTAAGGAGCCCAGGGGGCGGGAACATGCAACAAGCCCCGCCCCCTGTTCCCAGCAGCCCTCACTTGGGCCACGAGGAGCAAGAAGCAGCCAGGTAAGTTGCAGAGCCTCCCCCGGCCCGCCTTCAGGACAGGTACAAGCTCTCCCTCCTCTGCGAGGGCAGATCTGCACGTTCCCCCCCTCAATAGCTAACAATCCAAAACAGTCCAGTGGAGCCTGAGTGGTGGGTGTTGCCTTCTGACACACTTCCAGTGATGTCAGGGGGTGTGGCCTATGCAAATAGGTTATGTGAATAAATTATGCTAATGAGCTCCTGCACCTCCTTTTCTACTAAATGACCCCTGTTAAGCATGCAAGGAAATCTGGCCCTGTGGCTACAATGGTATTTGCTCCATGACTCTTGATTACTTAGATAATGACTTGGAGCTGATGCTATGTGAGCACAGTAGTGCTTTCCAGCCTCCCCCCCCCCACTTCATCCCGCCATGTCCCCCCAGATGTGGGGGAGCAAAGTGGTAGTCTGCAGTGGGAGAAGGGAATCGGCAAAACTGGCTTCCTCTTCCATCGGCAGAAATGTCGTTAAGATTCAAGCCATTATATAAGGCTAGAAATCACTATACAGATGCAAATTACTAATATTTAAATAGTAAACCATACATAGATGCAAGATTGTTGTGAATATAACAGAGAATTACAACTCTAATTGCAATGAAAATATCCTTAAATGCGTAAGAGAAACTATGTTGGAGCAGGCCAATGCCCCTTCCAGTCTAACACTCTGTGGGTGCGTTCAGATGGTGTGGCGGAGCGGTTTAAACTGCTCCGGTTCCAACTGGACTAATTTGATCCGGGGACAAGCGCAGTCACACGTACGTGTCTCACCACGCAGCACATCGCTCCCGGGCGTCCACACTGTCCACAAACTTCAGGCGCACGGTGGCGGTTTTTCCCTCACAGTTTGCACATGCACATAGGCAATCTTTCATATAATTGAGATCCTCACACATGCGCAGAACACTGTATCCCGAAAAGCATGCCCTGAAGCGAAGACTTACCTTTAAATTTGAACACCGAAACTGGCCTCCGTGAGGTCCTGAACTCGTCTAAAGCATTAAACTAGGCACCATTCCCCACTCCCCCCCCCGTTTTATTAATGTCAGGGTGAAGCTTCGCCCAAGCACATATCACCAAGGCTAAAAATAAAGTGGAGGCTTCCAGCAGAAGTGGCTCTACACCGGCGGAGAGCGATCTGACGGGGAAAATGCGGCTACAACTGGAGCACTCAGGATAACACCACTTGGGCAAACTACACCGGTTTAAGGGGTGTTTGCGACAATTGGCAACGGTTAGTGACGATTGGCAATGGTTAGTGACGGAAGGCAGATGTTGTGTGTGTGATCCCATGTAAGTACTCCGTTTCTAACCGGCTTCTATACCAGCTTAAATGCCCCGTCTGAACGCACCCTGTGTCACACAGGTGCCGTTAGGAAGTCCACCAGCGGCGTCAGAACTCCAGAAGCTTTCCCATTTTTGCCCCCTCAGCACTGCCCCAGACATAGTGTGGTTAATAGCCACTAGTGTGGTTAATAGCCACTGATGGACCTCTGCTCCATATGTTTATCCAATCCCCTCTTGAAGCTGTCTATGCTTGTAGCCACCACCACTTCTTTTGGCAGTGAATTCCATGTGTTAATCACTCTTTGGGTGAAGAAGTACTTCCTTTTATCTGTTCTAACCCGACTGCTCAGCAATTTCATTGAGAGCCCACAAGTTCTTGTATCATGAGAATTCATTTGTTCATTTGATTATACTTGGTCTGCATCTGCCAGAAACCTAAGCTTCTTAGAAAGTATTTTTCTCAAACTAACCCTGCCAGCCAATGAACAAGTTCACCGTCTGCTCCAGCTAGAAGCGAAAGGGACATTGTACATTCTCTTGAAATCCCGACATGTCATGCCATTTGCTTTTGTCTTGGGCCAGACAACATAGACATCAAAATACTACCTGTGTTTGCAACTTAGTTTCAAAAGCAGTTTGCTGTGTGGCATGGGATAAAGATTAAATGGACAAGCCCAAGGCCAGGGTTGCTACATGGAAGGAGTCCCGGGTTGCCAACTCCAGATTGGGAAATACCTGGAGATTTTGGGGGTTGAAGCCTGAAGGGGAGGGTTTGGGAAGGGAAGAGGCCTCAGCTGGATATAATGCCATAGAATCCACCATCAAAAGCTGATATTTTCACCAGGGGGACAAATTTCTGTCACCTGGAGTCCAGTTATAATTCCAGGAGATCTCCAGGTCCCACCTGGAGGTTGGCAATCATGAAAGGGTCAAGTAGCTCTTTGTATCATGGTCAGAACTTTTTATCCAACCTTTCTTATCTTGATTGGAATGGAATTCGGCAATCCTTTATTTTTTAAAAAAATTCTTAGTCCAGTGAACTGAAAAATAAGTCCTATTGAGGAAGGCCACATTAGACTGTATGTCAATGTATCTCTGAGAATTTAAGCAGCCACAATGATATCCACGCTTCGCACAATGAAATAAAGCTCTGGGTGTTTTAAGAAGTCAGTAAATGTCTTTTTCGTGAATGAATCGTAGAGGATTTCGGTGAGTCATTCCGAGGTTAGAGAATGTCTGGGAAAGTGTTTCCTGTGACCAATCTTTAGTGAAACTGAGGCAAAACGTGACTCAGACAGGGACTGCTGCTTTGGCAGGAAACAAAAAATAGTTCCTGATAGAAGCACAAAACTAAAAAAAAATATTATTTATCGTCTGCCTTTCTCACAGAGGCTCAAGGCAGATTACACAGAGTAAATCAATACAATCCAGTGAGCAATGTAATAGGATTAGGATTGCAAACATCTGAAACTAAGCAGAAATCTTTAAAAAGACGGAACAAAGCATAAGTATTAATATGAAATGTTAAATGATGCATAAATTACATACTGAGGTAATACATACAGCAACATACTATACACAGTAGCACAGTCCATAGTCTTTCCCTCTCTTAGAGCTTCCTTTCTGAATCATTCTGTTAGAATAAAGCCCCATTCGTTTTGTGACCTGATGTGTTTCGGCTCACTTCTTCAGAGGTCAAATAGTACAAAGTACAAAACACACCAAAAGTATAACCCTAAAGTCCCTGTAACACATGTAAGGCAAAAAACCACAATACTTTCCCTGAGCCTTCTTGCAGCTTGTGCATTTCTACCAAGCCTTCCTGGCCCGGCCTCATCCTCTACTGTCTGTCTGTCAGTGCCTGGCCTCTGCCTCTGTACCAGAGGTAAAGGTTTCCCTTGCTCGAAAGCCAGTCGAATCCGACTCTAGGGTTGCGGTGCTCATCTCCGTTTCCAAGCCGAAGAGCCAGCGCTGTCCGAAGACGTTTCTGTGGTTATGTGGCTGGGCATGACTAGACACAGAGGCACACGGAACGCTGTGACCTTCCCACCGAAGCGGTCCCTATTTATCTACTTTGGAACTTCTAGGTTGCGGCAGGAGCCGGGACCAGAGCTTACTCTGTCAGCTCTGGCCATTGCTTGGCTTGGACTATTGTGGGGTTGGTTGATTGTGTTTTTTTTTTAGTAAAGGTAAAGGTTTCCCTTGCTTGAAATCCAGTCGAATCCGACTCTAGGGATGCAGTGCTCATCTCCGTTTCAAAGCCGGAGAGCCAGCGCAGTCCGAAGATGTTTCCGACCAAGGCGCACGGAACGCTGTGACCTTCCCACCGAAGCGGTCCCTATTTATCTACTTGCAATTTCTTGCTTTCGAACTGCTAGGAGCTGGGACCGGAGACGGGAGCTCACTCCGTCACGCGGCACTCAGGTCTCGAACTCCTGAACTACCGACCTTCCGGGTCTGCAGTTCACCGTCTTAACCACTTGAGCCACCGCAGCTCCCTCCCCTGTACCGTACAAAACCCTAAAGGAGGGCCGCCGAGCATTCACAGACTACTTCTCAGAGGACCTTCTGGGAGGCGTGGGGCTCTCCAGCCAGGCGCAGTGAGGCTTCCAGTCAAGATAACCAGAGTCGAGCGGCTCCCGCTCCTCCCCTCTTGCCCCGGGGGGGCCCCGGGAGGGCGGGGGGTTCCCATATGCTTCTGAAGGTTCGACGCCTGCCAGCCCTTTTCCTTACGTGTCTCCTTCGCCTGGTCCTTACGCGCAGGGCGCAGGGCGCAGGGCGCAGGGAGGGGGAGGCCCCCCCCTTTCTCGGGGCTCGCCCACCCTCCCGTCCATAAATAGCCAAGGAGCGGCACGGGCAGCGCAGACGGCGCCGGGTTTCTCTCGCTCTCTCTTGCAACCTGCCAGGAGCGCGTCTCCATCCTCCTCTCTGCGGGCACGATGTACTCCAGCAGGATTGAGGTTCCCAGGAGGGGGCGATCCTTCGACTCCACCAACACCGCCGGCTTCGAAGAGAATCAGCTCAACAATGAGGTAGGGAACTTGGCCCGAGCCAGGCACTTCCCCCGTTTGGTCTACTTCGTAATCAGGTCCACACGGGATAACGGAGAGCTTCTCTGAGACAGAAAATGGAAAGGGTTTTTCCTTCTGAGACGCGGGGATCTTCTTGTGATTTTGGGTTTGTCCCCACAAGACCACCGAAGAGCATCTTGCCCATGTGTCCAATGCTCCCTCTAAGCTGTGGAGTCTTGTGAGCCGAAATGCTGCTTTGTGAGCGACTGGCCTTAAAGTCGTGAGCGAGCAATTTGGCTACTGCATGAATCAGTCTGCTCTGGAGCAATGTTCCCTCTAAGCTGTGGATTCTTGTGAGCAAAAGTTCTACTTTGTGAGCTACTGGCATTAAAGTTGTGAGCGAGCAATTTGGCTACTGCATAATTTAGTTTGCTGTGGAGCCATCCGTCCTGAGCTAAGTCAAAATCAGGTGAGCTGGAGGCTATAAACCCGTGAGCTAGCTCATACTAACTCAGCTTAGAGGGAACACTGCTCTGGAGCCCTCCCTTCCTGAGCGAAGGCAAAAGCGTGTGAGCCGGAGGCTAAAAAAAACTGTGAGCTGGCTCACACTCACTCAGCTTAGAGGGAATGCTGCCCATGTCAGTTGATATAGTTTTGTAAATTTTATGCACCTCCAATTTACTAATGGCTCTCTCCTTTCCACATTAACAGTGATGACATTTAGAGACTGAATGACATTGTGAATATCCTTAGGTCAATTATCAGACAGGTCCTACTGAGGCCTGAATAATTTGGAATGGGCTGTAGACCTGTTCAGCCGGATCTGGAAGCTCCCAGGTTGGTCAAAAAGGGGGCGAGAGAGTCGATATACACGGATGCACAGATGATACTGAATTTCTTATTTATTTATTTATTTATTTAATTTCATTTATACCCCGCCCTCCCCGCATGTGCGGGCTCAGGGCGGCTTACAACCATAGAGCACAAGTGCAATAAAAATACAATAAAACAATTTAAAACAATTTACACATGGGCCACGCCCAAGGATTCCGCGCGACTGATACCCACTCACCCTATTGCCCATATCCTTTCCATTCCAGGGGAGGTTACTGTGGCCCCCTGATGTTCATTGCCACTCAACCTCCGGCGGTGCTATAAAACGGTCCTCATTGGTGGTGGTGGTAACGGTGAAGATTGTATTCCAGAACAGATATTGTGGAAGTGGATGGAGAGATCTTGAACCTGGCCATGTAGGGCTTTAAAGGTAACGACCAGCACTTTGAAGCGAATCCGGTATGCTATAGGCAGCCAGTGCAGCGCTTTGAGCACAGGCTGGATGTGGTCCCATTTCGAGACACCAGCAACCAGCCTGGCCGCCGCATTCTGCACTAGCTGCAGCCTCCGAATCAGCGACAAAGGCAGCCCCATGTAGAGAGCGTTGCAGTAGTCTAGCCTTGAGGTGACCGTCGCATGGACCACTGTGGCTAGGTCTTCACGGCTGAGAAAGGGAACCAACTGCCGCACCAGCCGAAGATGGTAAAAGGCCGCTTTGGCAGTGGCTGCTACCTGGGCCTCCATCGATAAGGTGGAGTCCAGGAGCACTCCCAGACTCCTAACCTCCGAAGCTGGCACCAAAGGCGCCCCATCGAAGGTCGGGAGTGGGAGCCCCAATCCCTTCCCGTTCCAGCCCAGACACAGGACCTCCATCTTCGCCGGGTTCAGCTTCAACCGGCTCAGCCTGAGCCATCCAGATACGGCCTGCAACGCCCGATGCAGATCTTCAGGATCAGAGTCCGACCGGCCGCCCAACATCACAACTGATTTAGGGCAAGCCGGTGTTCCCTCTAAGGTGAGTCGGTGTGAGCTAGCTCACCGTTTTTCTAGCCTCCGGCTCACGGATTTTTGTCTCCGCTCAGGGAGGGTGGCTCCAGAGCCAAACTAATCTATGCCATAGCCCAATCACCCACTCACAACTTTCATGCCGGCAGCTCACAAAGTAGGATTTTTGCTCACAGGACTCCACAGCTTAGAGGGAGCATCGAATTGGCAACCCTGGGAGTCGTTCAAGGCAAGAGATGTTCAGAGGTGACTTGCCGTTGCCTGCCTTTGCATTGGGACTCTGGACTTCCTTGGTGGTCTCCCGTCTGAGTACTACCTGGGGCTGATGCTGCTTCGTTTCTAAGGTCTGATAAGATCGGGGTACTCTGGGCTATCCAGGTCAGGGTGGTATTGCATAGATGAGGATTAATATTGGACAAACTGCCTGTCCCTTCTTACTGAAGTATTCTGTGCACTTTGAACGCTTGCTGCCTGGCTGTATTCATGCAACTGATGGTGTCCGCTGGGTCCTTCTGGGCAAGGGTGTAGACTTTCCAATTTCCCAGGGGGGGGGGGCTGGGGCTGGGCCAGAGGCATTGCTTTGCTAGGAGCAAGGGTGGCTCCCGGGGGAGGCTGAGCACCTTCCTGAAAATTTCGGCGGGGGCTCATGCCCCGCCGCCCCCACGAAGATTACGCCTATGCTTCTGGACACCTGTTGGATTAAAGGTACATCCAGTTACAGTGTCCCATGCTGGTAGTCATGCACGTAACCAGGAGCCTGGCGCCGTGTCCTAGGATAAGGTGAGAACCCAATGTGCAGACTGAACCTAAGGGGGCATGTGACCAGTGTTCCCTCTAAGCTGAGTTAGTGTGAGCTAGCTCACAGTTTTTTAGCCTCCAGCTCACAAATTTTGGTCTTAGCTCAGGAAGGATGGCCCCAGAACGAACTAATTTATGTAGTAGCCAAATCACTTGCTCACAATTTTAATGCCAGCAGCTCACAAAGTAGAATTTTTGCTCAAAAGACTCCACAGCTTAGAGGGAACATTGCATGTGACTGGTTAGGGAACTGGAAGAAACTGGATTTTGGAATGCCAAGATTAAGACTGCTGGGGCCTGTGGATACATCTCTTACTGGGATGACACATGCAAAGCAGAGACCCTGAACAAAGGAGCTGCAAGCTGAGTATTCTGATTGTACCTTTGTCTTACCTGCATCTTCACTGCCCTGTGACTCTTTGCTGCCAATGCTCATCTATTTGTCTATCCTCTCATTCCTTTCCAACGCTTGTCTTGGCCATTTGGTCTAGGCTCTTGTGCTCCTTTTCATTGCATACAGTAGATAGCTCACTCAGCAATAAAGAAGTTAATAGGGATTGCTGGGTTGGTAAACCGAACTATATTCTGCCTACTAAAAATGGGGCGATTCACGAGTAAGGCATATGTGCAGTATTCATCCTGATGGTTAATCTTCAGCTTCTAGGAATCAAAAGTATACCATGTCTGAAAATAAAGGCTTTGCTTTTGGGGGACTATCCTAAATGTATTTATCTATAAAAAGCCTGAATCCTGCCTCTTAGTCTAGGCGGCTGTCAAGCAGACATAGATATTAAATATAAAATCATCACAAATACTGTAATAAAAACTGCAACTAAAAGTTCAGCCCACAATAAATCAATAAATGGCGCAGACAAAGGTCAAATATAAAAATATAACAAGCAATATGGTCAGGAGTCCTTGATAGACTCATCTTTTATTTTTATTTTTTAATCTAAACCTTTAAAAAAGTGATTTGTGCCGGTGGCAATTATGACATCCGGTGGCAAGGCGTTCCATGTGTTAACTGTGTGGTGGATATAACAGTGCTTCCCCCCTTTAAATTCACTGTCCATAAATTTCAGTGGATTACCCAGCACTTTTATATTCTGAGATGGTATGAACAGCCTTTGTCTATTTGTCATCTGCACAACACTCACACTGTTAAAACGTCTGTTATTAATATGTCTGTAATTCAAAGTAGCTCACAATAAAGCACATCATTAAGGCACCCATGATTAAAGTATGATTAAAACTGATTAAATTCAACCGTTTTTAACTACCTTATAAAAAACAGTGCCAGGTATAATAAGAACAATATTCGTATCCACTATCTTCTGGTAGGTGATATAGTCTTGAGACTTCTAAGATTTAACAGGGCCTTGGGGACTAGCAAGAAATAGTGCTGGGAAGGCTGGCTTAAGAGGTAAGAGGAGATTTACCTTTCCTGAACTACCGTAACTGCCGATGCCAGCAGTTTGAATATCCACTCCTTAAAGAGTGGAACAGATGGGTTCTACAGATCAGCAAACCAAGTGTACGCTGGTCTGCTGGTGATCATGTTTGAACAGTCTAACCCTTTGGTGGATGGATATCTATTTTAATGGATAAAGGACATTTGTGATCTATTCAGTTGTAACAGGAGCCGGGAAATGGGCTTCATCCTACCCCACCCTTCACTTGGAATCTCAGAGCGGCTTACAAACTCCTTTCCCTTCCCCTCCCCACAACAGACACCCTGTGAGGTGGGTGGGGCTGAGAGAACTCTGACACAAACTGCTCTTTCAGGAACAGCTGTGCCAGAGCTTGTGACTGACCCAAGGTCACACCAGCAGGTGCAAGTCGAGGAGTGGGGAATCAAATCCGGTTCTCCCAGATTAGAGTCCGCACACTTAACCACTACACCAATGTAGCATGCCATCTCAGTTCATGTTGGGGGGAGAGAATCTGGCCTTGAGTTTACAAAGCAAAAGCCTCATTGGCTATCAAAATTCATGTGTATGTAGGCATTTCTTAGACATATTCTTTACTGTGAACAGTGCCCAGCATAGGGTACAGCTAACTGAAAATGTAAATACATAACTGGCTGTGCTTCAGAGAGCCACAGATCTTTGTCTGTCTCCCTTTCAAAGTTCCTGTTCCTCCCTGAAAAGCCGCTGGAGAGGATTGGGACCCTTAGGAATAGTGTGGGAGGTGGCATTGGGAACTGCAGCAAGGAACCCTCTGTATCAATTGCCTACCCTGCACGAGCATAAGAGCCCTCCACTAATTTTACCTTCTGCTGAATTCCGCGAAAGAATTAAACAATAGAACAAATCTGTCCCTTTTATCTACGAGATGCCCAGCAAAAGCCCTTTGAATTTTTAATGTATCCTGTGCCTACAGTGCAGTCCTAAACTGAGTCACACCCTTCTAAGTCCATTGACTTCAATGGATTTAGAAGCGTGCAACTGTGCTTAGGATTGCGCTGTGGGGTTGCTAGGTCTGTACTAGTGTGGTCATAACACTGTGACGTCAGTCCAGAAAACTGCATCCCCGTACTTCTTTTACTTGGGGCCCACTCATCCATTGCCTTTTGAAGTTCCGAACATTGTAAATTGTAGTGCACATCTGACCACCTGGACCGGCAGAGAATGTGAGGAAAAAATAATGTGTAGTTATAAGGCCCTCATCAGAAATACTGATCTGTCATTGATTCAAGGACTCTGGCTAGACAGGAGAAGTCAGACACAGGCTGGTTGCAGTAGGCTGGTTATTGTTGTTAGCAGAAACAGGGTGCGTTCAGACGAACAGCTAATCCCACCATTATGCCGGCTCAAATTTGATCCCGATCTTTTAAATCCATCCTCGCATGACCAGACATCCCCCGGGGGAATCGCCTTACTGTGCACTGCTTCTGCTGTGGATTGTCTAGATGGCGTCCACTGAATGAGGCGCGCGTGGGGTGGCTTTTTAAAAAACACACAAAAGTTTGCGCATGCGCATAGGCGTGATAGACCTTGTTTATCTGTGCATGCGCAGAATCAAGATTTTTAAACAATGGTGCCCGAACGGGCGCCATTTTTTAATTGCGCGCTGGAACGATCAGACAGGAAAGAGTCTGTGACTGGCCCATTGGAACAAAAACCTCCAGATTTTAACTAGTACCTTTTTAGTACGGCACCGAAGCACAGCAAAATGGGATGCTCACGGAAGATGGACATTTCCCAGATGTTAATGTCTGGACATTACATTTAAATCCATGAGGCACTTGTTCCTCGTGCGGATCTAAAGAGCCGTCTGATCGGACTCACAGAGCAGAAGAAGACAAGAATGGCCTAAAGAAAGAACCCTGGCAGAGAGACTGAGCAAAATGAGAACTGAAGGAAGTGGATCCTGAACAGGGCTAGCGGAGGGCACGGTGCAGTTTTTTTAGGAACAGCATTTTGGTGTCCTAGTTCCAGTAAACCAGCCCTGACCAGGAAGAATTCACTAGCTTCTGAAATGGTGCCATTATATTCCGTGCACAGAACAGCCAGGGAAGAACCTGAAAAGAAACATTGCTTCCGAACAAAGCAAGTACAGGTCTCTAAGTGCTACGTTGGGTAGAGGCTAGAGTAAGAGAAACTGGGTATTTTGAATTTAATTAGTAGACATAATGAACACTGGGATTGCCACCTCTTTTAATCACAATAATGTTAAAGATTAATGTTTTAATTACAGTACTGTACCTGTATTTCAAGTGTCAAAGAACTATATCTTTATACGTCTAATTAATTCTTTAAAAAGTCTGTATTTTGTTTCTTGTGATCCTGTGATCTCCTTATCCTCTGTCTAATATATACTAAGCTCTTAGGGTATAATAAAGTGTGATTTATCTTTGATGGTAGTAGCAGAATATAACACATAAATAATAAAAAGAGATAAGATACAATCTAAAATGACTCGGGTGGCTTTGGGAGTAGGTGGTGTGAGGAAAAGACACAGGTGGTCGGATTTAAATGCTTCAGTCCCCACTGTGTAGTGTCAGGGTGCTGGGATCTTAATGAAATATAACCCTTTACCAGGGTGGATTAGATTAAAATAAATTGATTTAGGAAGTCTTGATTTAAATCATGGCTTCCTGCCTAAGAAGAAGAAGAGTAGATTCGTATGTCCCGCTTTTCTCTACCTCATGGCAACTCAAAGTGGCATACAATCACCTTCCCTTCCTCTCCACAAGAAGCACCTTGTGAGGTAAATGGGGCTGGGAGAATTCTGAGAGAACTGTGACTGGCCCAAGGTCACCCTGCTGGCTTCATATGGAGGAGGGGGGAAATCAAACCCAGCTCTCCAGTTTAGAGCCCGCTGCTCCTAACCACTACACCACTCTGGTTCGTAAAGGGTCATTGTTGCCGGCCGTAATATTTACAACCCAGATGAAAGTTTCATTTTAGTATAAGTTTCCAGGTTAGGGCTGCAGTGATATCAGAAAATTAATGATTGTTTGGTTATTTACCATTTGAAATAGATAATTCCGGAATAATTGCAAGGTCAACTATTTCCACTTTAATCGGTAGGGTTACAAGACCTCTGGTCAGGGAGGGGTTTCCCCCGATTTTCGGGGCTCCAGCCCACCACCGGCCGGGGGAAGCCCCACCCCCAAACAGGCATGTAGCTGTGCGACGTCCCCGTCACGATGACACCACCCGGAAGTGACGTCATCACACTGCCGACATGGGGAGGTGATGCTCTAGTTTTGGGGCAAACTCTATGGTTTTGAAGTAAAAAAAACCATAGAATTTTGCCCAAAAACTAGAGCATCACTCCCTGACATCTGCAGCAAGATGATGTCACTTCTGGGTTACGTCATTGCACCGTGCGCGCTTTGCGTGTGCAGCAAAAGATCCTGGAAAGGACCCAGGACTCCCCCGCTTGTCAAGAGGTAGGATCTGGCAACCCTATTAATACCAGGGCTATTTTTGGGCAGGAACGCACAGGAACGGAGTTCCGGCTGGCTCCCAAGTTGGCCACTCCCAGCAGGAACTCATTAGCATAATAGGCCACACCCAACAGCAGAAACTCATTCGAATTGGCTACAATTAGGGGTGTGTGGACTAATATGCAAAAAGCCCTGGGTTTTGACCACAAGCAAGGTCAACAGAATAAGAAGCAAAAGGTGGGCGTGGCTGGAAGACCACACTTCTGGTAACATGGGGGTGCGGCCTAATATGCAAATGAGCTGTGTTGTCAGGGGTGTAGCCTAATATGCTAATGAGTTCCTGCTGTTGGGTATGGCCTATTATGCTAATGAGTTCCTGCTGGGCTTTTTCTACAAAAAGAGCCCTGATTAATATGTTAATCATTCATATTTGGACAACTATTCTGATGTACTTCACTGGATGGAGAAAAGTAATAATTAACGATAACCATTTAAATTGTTTTATTTAACTAAAACAATGACATTATGTAGCATATATATTCTTGTATTTGCTTAAGCATCCACGAAGCTGCACTCACAAAGAGCTCAAGACTCCTGGAGTATGATACTCAAAAAAGTTTCAGTTTCATCTGTACTGCTTGCTCCTCCCTCTTCACACTTAGCTCTTAACATCTTCACCTTATCTAGACCTATTCCACCTAGAGTTGCCAGGTTCCTCCTGGCAGCCAGCAGGGGATGGGGGGGGGGACTTACCTGGAGAAACGGAAAGGCCCAGGCCTCGTCGCCAGAGTCACACAGGAAGCGATGTCACCACACCAGCGGCATCCAGTGCTCCCTCTAAGCTGTGGAGTCTTGTGAGCAAAAATCCTACTGTATGAGCTACTTAGCATTAAAGTTATGAGCAGGCGATTTGGCAGCTCCATAAATTAGTTTGCTCTGCAGCAATCCTTCCTGAGCTGTGGAATGAGATGAAGGGCCACAGCATGGTCTTCTGGGCAGCACATCAGGCCAGGGGGATTATACCTAGTGGCTCTCAGATTGGCCTTAGTGCTTGGGCGGAAATGGAATGGCTGGGGAGTAATACACCTGGGGGGGGCAATGATCTGGGTCTTTTGAAGGCCCTCGTGTTGCAGGCTGAGGCAGACCTTGCGGGGATAAAAGCAAGGTGGCCCGGCGTGAAGATAGTATGGTCAGCCATACTGCACCGCCAGGTTTAGCGAAACTTGGAGGACCCCAGGTGTATTACCGCACCAGACGCAAGGTTAACAGGCAGCTGATAAAGGCCATGGATGCAGGGTTGGGTATGTTTTTGCCGCACCCCGATATACGGGTCATTTCCCCAGACCTGTATAGAGACAACGGGGTACATTTGAATGACAAGGGCAATGGGATAGTTTTACAGGACTTGCAGCAAGGGATTAGGCTTGCATTAGGATGCTGAGTGGGGAGCAAAGGCCAAAGCAGAGGCTTGACCTTGGCTGTGGCAGGTTTGTGCAAGCAAAACGGAACTGGTGAGCACCTTACGGCATATCCCGTTAGGGAACAGGGGGTCATCAGGAACTGCCTTTGGATTTCAGGGTCCGGGGTGGGGAATGGTGATCACCTCCACTGGGAACCTTTTAGGCCTGGCTCCTCCCTGCAGGTTGGAAGGCTTCAGGGGTAGGTGCTCCTAGAGGGCAACCAGTTTGCTGGGCTGCTGGTCACGAGCCAGAGAGTTGGCTCACGGCCGGAACTGGGTGACCCGCCCTACAAGGGCAAGGGGGTTGGTTAGGGAATGACGCCTGCCTTGTCTTGTTATTCTGGCTGGGGGGGCAAAGTGCCATAGCCATGACTGCAGGCAACTATCCTGCAGATGCCATTAGTACGGCGACTCATCTAGATATCACACATTATCTTGCACTCTTTTTCTAGGCAAGTCGTCTTGTTGAGACGAGCAAGATAGAAATTGTGGTAGCTTTTAGAAAAGGAAATGATGATGTTTGGGGGAAACTGCAAACCTCGAAGTAGGATGGTTGTGTGGTTCTTCTGCATTCTGAATGATTTTAAAATATTAAAAACATGATCCCGCTTGAATTAATATAACCTTCGTGGGATAAGGGCTTCCGTTTTTTCTTGAATGAAGTGGGGATAAAAATGTGGTTCTATGTCTGTAGTCCTATGCACACTAATGATTTTGTTGCAGTCATTAGAAGGTGCACTTTACATATATAGGCATTCTGTTGACAAGTAAGAAAAAAGCAAAACTGATATTGGATGCATTTAATGGGACCTCCTTTGAAATAAAAGGATCTAGAAGCCAGGTGATCAATGACTAATATTACTGAGCCAGAACACTTTGTACCGGAAAATCCAATGGGATAAGTTCTTTTGAAACAAACAAATTCTGCAGGGTTTAAAAAACAACAACAATGCTGACTTATTTAACAGTGATTGTTACCATTTCAATGTATTTTCAGCTCCACAAATCAAACTACACTATGAACGAAGACAATAAAGAGAACAAAGACAATTTGACCGAAAGGGGCAGAGCTGTTGTCATCTTTTCTTTAAAGAATGAAGTCGGAGGACTTGTCAAAGCCCTAAAACTCTTTCAGGTACGCAGGTTCTCTGTGCAGCCAGTACAGTAAGGGCAAACTTTGGTATCTTAGCATAACTTAGTATTTAGCTACTGTGTCAAGATCGTGTGTTTAAGCAGATTAAGTGAACTCATAACAATGACCCCTCCCCAAAATAAAGATACCAGGACAGGACCTCCAGCACTTTCTGAGCACCAATTTTGGACCCATTACGGAGGGGTCAAACTCATTTGTTACAAGGGCAGGATTTGACAAAAATGTCACTTTGTAAGGCCGGGCCACATGTGCCATAAAATGTAATGCCAGGTACTGGAGGACACAGGCAAACTCAATTAATGATATTAATTTTTACTCAAACTGCAAACAAAAGCGACTGATTCTTAGCAGTGAAAGCAATTGATTTACTCGGGAACCCACAAATGCCACAACAAATGTATTTCATCATATCGCAGGGCTATTTTTGGGCAGGAACGCACAGGGTTCCGGCTGGCTTCAGAGTTAGCCATGCCCACTACAGCCAAAACCTCTGCGTGCCTGGCTACAGAGGGAGGGCCTGGAGAGGGGCCCCCCCCCGGCAACTCCAAGGCGGGCGGGCAGGCCGGGGGGGGGGGCCTGGAAGGATCTGGGAGGCATTTAAATGCCTCCTGTGCCTTCCCTGGTCTCTCCAATGCCGGCTTGCCCGGGAAAGCCAAGGGAAGGAATGGGGTGTGGCCTAATATTCTAATGAACAGCATTGTCAGGGTGTGGCCTAATATGCTAATGAGTTTCTGCTTGTTGGGTGTGGCCTATTATGCTAGTGAGTTCCTGCTGGGCTTTTTCTACAAAAAACCCCCCTGATCGTGTGCAAGACTAGTTTCCCCCCACAAGGGATATCATAAAAGGGGGAGTACCTTACATTTCCATACAGATTAGTTACTTTTTTTATATGTAGTAGTGTTAGGGGATGAGTCATCGTCCTTGAAAGTAAATAAGGCAGTTTCCCCGTCACATGCCTCCATTCTCACAGCCTCAGCAGCCGCGCACAGCTACAATCTGTCTCTCATTCTTTGTTTCTTCTCTTCCCCTGTCCTACCTCTGAGGATCTCAAGGAGGCACACTGGACTCCCCCCACCTCCGCTGCCCCATCTCCACCCCCGCCACCAACCCTATGAAGTGGGCCAGACTGAGTGACCAGCCCCAGGTGACCCAGGTGACAGGGTCCTGGCTCAGGAGGAGGAGGGGGGGTTCTGAACCTGGCTCTCCCAGATCCCCCCCACCCCCAGTTCTCGTCCCTCCTGCATTTCCCACAGAATCGGTGGGGCTGAGGAGAAGGCCTGATGGACAGGCTGTTTCTGAAACCTCCAGGGGGTGCTTTTTGTCCTTCCATGACCCCTTTCCCCTCCGTTTTAAAGGGGTTTGAGCCGGAAAGCGATGGCTGGGGATGATGCGCAGAGGTTGGGGTGTGTGTGATCGCGCGTATAAAATCCGTTACTGAAGCGTGCCGAAAGCGGACTAAACGGCCCGTCTGAACGCGCCCATTGACAAAACACCACTCTGCACGCCTGCTCTCACCAACCCCCCCCCTCACAGTTGCTGTTTGATAAAACGCGAAGCCAGTTGGTGAGGCAGTGGCAGCGCCGGCTGCTCAGCTCCGCCCCCCCCCATGCAGTGGCTTCACCAATCCTCGGTGAGCTGCAGTCGGAGGAGGTGGGAGGGGAAAAAACACGTCATACCTCCTCTTTCTCTGCCTTTGCTTTCATTCTTGCTTTCATCCCCATTTCCCCCCACTATTTTACCTCAGCCTCTTAGCTGGGGCCCTAGCCATTTTCTTTTTATTTCTTGACAGCTTCGACTACACACATGCCCCTCCCCCTGTGCACTCGCTTGCCCCCCTGAGCAGCCCCCTGCCTTCCTTTCCTCCCACCAGTTGTTTGCGGGCTGGGTAAGAGCCGGGTCCCCAGGCTGTATGTTTGACAGCCCTCCATCAGAAAACCTGTAACTTGGGGCAAGTTTCACACAAAGTGCAGAAAGAGGAAGCTGCACTTCCTCTTTCCACACTTCCAGGGTAATGTGAAAAAGTGAGATTCTCACCCCTGCCCCTCAGGAGAGTGCTAGTGATGTTAACAAGCTGAGCATGATGCTGAGGGGGATAATATAGTCAGTTAATGTGGGAAATTCCACTGTGGTATAGCTGGAGGAAATAGATCCTTACTATAATATCTGTTCAAATGCATGAAACTTAGAATGATCATACTGAACATAAGTAGTATTATGGCCAGGGGTCATTTTGTACAAAAAGAGGTGCAGGAGCTCATTAGCATAACTCATTAGCATAACTTATTTGCATACGCCACACCCCCTGGCATCACCGGAAGTGTGTCAGAAGGCAACACCCACCGCTCAGGCTCCACTGGACTGTTTTGGATTGCTAGCTATTGGGGGGGGGGGGGAACGTGCAGATCTGTCCTTGCAGAGGAGGGAGAGCTTGTACCTGAATAAAACTTGGTCTTAAAGGTGCCACTGGACTGTTTTGGGCTGGGGGGCTCTGCAGCTTACCTGGCTGCTTCTTGCTCTGACTGAGGGCTGCTGGGAGCAGGGGGTGGGACTTGTTGCATGTGCCTGCCCCCTGGGCTCTTTACTGCCGGAGCTCCGCTCCTGTGCGCTCCTGCAGGAAATGACCCCTGATTATGGCTGTGTTCAATATCAGAAAGCCTGGATTCAAATCACAAAAGTTTCAGAAGTGATGATTCTTTTGCTTTAATCAGCAACATAATAGCTGAGGTTTTGGTTCCCAGGTGCTATTAACAAATTAATAAAAATTGTCTTATTTATCAGGAGAAACACGTGAACCTGGTACACATAGAATCTCGAAAATCCAGAAGAAGAAATTCAGAGTTTGAGATCTTTGTAGACTGTGACAGTAACAGGGAACAGCTGGACGAGATCTTCCATCTGTTGAAATCCCATGTCAGTGTTGTATCTATGAACCCAAGTGATGATTTCACTGTACAGGAAGATGGTAGGTAACAAACGAGAATGTGATGTATCACAATTGCATTTGCCTTTACAAAGTATGTTTGCATGCATGTGGGACTGGAATTTAAAAAGGTGTGCCCTTTTCTTCAGATAAATTGATGACTTCTCTCTCCTATAGAGAATGCTCATTGGTCTTTTTTATCCGATATACCGCTTGGAATAAACAGCAATAGGAGCTCCTTAAAAATGTTCTTCCACCACAACTAATTGGTTGAAGTGAGGAATGGTGGAGAGAGGTGAATACGTACCTAAAAAGGTAACAGAATGATTCTAAGCTTGTCACCTCAGATTTATTTATCATAGGCTTCATTCACACAGTTTTCTTTAGTATACTCATATCTTCCCAACCACCTACAACATTATAGCACAGGTGTGGATAAAGGTAGTGAAGAGTGCAGAACTGGGATACAGTTTAATAAATGGAAGACCTTGTTAAGGTACACCTGTACGTGTTCAGTAGAAAACAGATAAGGGCCTGTAAACAGGGCTGGCTCGAGGTTTTTTGGCGCCCTAGGAGAAACTAGCGCCCCCCCAGGCGAGGCTGCCTTGTGGTGCCCCCCTCACCTTATGTCTCCCCGCCCCCGCGTGCCTCTCCATGCGCCTGCGAAGAACTTCCATGATGACACTCCGGACTGGAAGAAAGGCAGGGAGGGTGCAGCAGGAGGTGGGGAAGGGATTCCTATCCTACCCCCCAAAAATTTCTCTTTAGAGGCAACCACCCCCCCCCAGCCACCGCCGCCGCCGTGCAGCCCCAATTCGGAGCGCACCCAGCCCGGGCCTGGCCGGCTTCCAGCGGCAGCCAACACCCCCCCTGCAGCCTTAAAATAGCCTCCCTCGCTCCCTGGGTGGACAATGGGTTGCAGGGAGGATGAGCACTTGATTGACAGGCGTCGCTGGGTGGCTGAGCTAGAGGTAGGCAGACGGGCGGGGAAGCCGGAGCTCAGCACCGTGCTGTGCAGACTGGCAGGCCAGGCAGGAGGGGAGGGGAGGGAAGGGGTGAGTCGTAGTGTCCCTGGCGTGGCAGGGCAGCCTCTGGTGGTGGATCTCCCCTGGTGAGACTGTGCCATGTCCGTTGTCTCTTGCCTGCCCCCGCCCCCCCAGCTGCCCCGAGCATGCCATGGGCTCCCCATGCCATAAACTGCCAGGCCAAGATGCAGCAGCTGAAATCAGCCGGGGGGGGGGCTTTTGGTGGTGGTGGGCCCTGGCATGCTCTAGGTGAATGCCTAGTTCACCTAAAGAGCGATCCGGCCCTGCCTGTAAAGCGTTTTAGAGAGTCCTTGAGGAAATAATTTATTGGTCACATCCTTCACTGGTTGGAAATTTTTATACCCTGTTTCCTGATTTGGGACATAAGCAACTCCTTGCTTCTGAGAGACTCCTTGAAATATGGGATACCAAGGAGTAAGCTTACATCATTCTCCCAGGTGCCTGCTATGGGAAGGATGATCGCTCTCCACGGAGAGGATAGATCAAGATGGGCAGCCATGTTAGTCTGTCTGTAGCAGTAGAAAAGAGCAAGTGTCCAGTAGCACCTTAAAGACTAACAAAAATTCGTGGAAGAGTATGAACTTTCGTGAGTCACTGCTCACTTCTTCAGATACCTCAAACAATGAGGGCATGTTTGAGAGTTTGGTAGCAATAAATTGTTTTATTTTTCTTCTTTGTTTTCTGTACTTGCACCTTTCCCCCATTAGCCATTTATGTGTAGAATAAAAAACTTACAAAATGGACTTCCGGTCTATGGATTGGCAATGGCGGTCGCTCTCCCTGGACCTCGGGGGAACGATAGCACACCAGTGGTATGGGGGGGTGCTACCTCAAGTGGCACCCCCACGGAGTCTTTGTGATAGGCTCCAGGCCAGAGGGCTTTTGAGGGGTAGCCTCTTCAACGGCTTGATGCTGGAGAATTGAGGCTTCCCTCTGCCCTGATGGTCCTGCCACTGTGTGGCCTTCAGGCACAAGCTAATTCGACTGGGACAAGCGTTGGAGATCGAGCAGAATAACGAATGATGTGAGCGAGGTCAGAGAAATTACCAACAATAAATGTGAGTTCAAAGTAAACGGAGTATTTTAAAAAAAATGAACTATCCCCCCGTGGGAAAAGCGGAGCGCAAAGAGGGACGCCTCTTAAGCGCATGGACAGATAAATGCATCGAAGGGGGAAGGGAGGAAGTAAACAGCGAATCTGTTTTGAGAGACTAACGTGAGTGCCGATAGTGTGGTGATGAGTTTTCGAGCCCTTGTGAAATGGTTTGAAATTGTAAACAAAATCGTAAAATGGCGGCTTCCCGGGGAAAGCTAAAAGCAAAAGCACCAGGCAGTCAGAGCCCAAAACCAGAAGGGGGAGTGGACGTCATGAAAATGTTAGCGGATATGCTCAAGCCGATGATGGAGCAACTCGATGGTATTAACCAGCAACTGACTTCGCTAAATCAAAACTTCGCTCTACAGCAGTGCCAGCTGGCAGAAACGGAGAAGAAAGTGGAGCATGCGACTGAAAAAATTACAGAGATGGACACTGCAAACAAGAAAATGAAGAAAAGAATGGGAGAAGTTGAAACAAAACAAAACCTCCAAGAAAACCATTTTTTACAGCTGCAAATGGAAAAGGCCAACATGATTCTCAGATTCCAGGGAGTTCCTGATACTGAAAAAGAAGATTTGAAGAAGACTCTGGGCGAGATTATTGCTCCAGCAACAGGCTTACCAGTGGATGAAATAGTAAAAGATATGGAGACTGCCTATCGGGCTTACTCCAATTATATATATTAAAAAAAGCCTGCCTGGAGAGATTGTGGTCAGATTTGCAAGAAGACAGACCAGAGATGCCATATTAAAGGCAACCTCAGCAACTCCACTGAAACTGGGGAATACAACCATTAAGACTTTAAAAGGCATTCCATTTGAAATTCGTCAAAAGAGGAAACGCTACTTGAGACATCAGCTGGGATCGGGGGAAGAATCCAAAGATAAAGAAACTAAATCAAGTGACTCAGCTGCCTCTGGAACGGATGAGGACTCTGCAGTAGAAACGGGTGCAGGAGCAATGAAAGTTGCATACGATTTCAGAGATAGAAAACCGAAGTAAAGGCAGAAGGACTTTGAAAATCGTCTTTTGAAGTAAAGAAGATGCTCAGAAAGCTCTCTCATAACAACTAACATATTAATACTGAAGCTGTGAAAAACAAGAACTTTACAAGTATATTGTTTTACTAACACTCTAATTACTACCATTAAGTTTAACACGGATATGATCTCCTTCTCTTGGGTTTTTAGTTAGTGTGGATATCTTTTCTTTATCCATAGTTGTAGTCCCCCTCCCTATATTTCTTTGTAGTTTCCTTGTAGTCTTATAAAAATAATAAAAATATCCCTTCGGGGTTTTTTAAAAAAAACTTACAAAATCAAATACACATAGGAATGAAAGCAAAAATATACAGTCCAGTAGTCCCTGAGTCCCATGTCAAAGCAAGCTTTGAACACAAGGATATCCTGGGCTGCTGCTGATTCCATTGACATGGCTTCCACAAGGTCACTGGCTAAAAGCCAAGGCCCCTTCGGCTTGTTGCTCAGGCTTGAAGTACCTGCAAAGAAGGGAAGGGTATATTCTCTGCCCAGGTCTTAATCCCAGGCCCACCCAGCGGTTCGAAAGCAACTTAATTGCAAGTAGATAAATGGGTACCCACCCTTAGTAGGGTGGGGGGCACCCTGTGTGGCTGGCTGAAGACGGCAGCGGCGGTGGCAATGGCGGCGACGATGATGGCAAGCGGCGACCTGGCGTGGACGGCATTGGTGGCGTGGCGTTGCGGTGGCGAGCGGGCGTGATTGGAGAGCCGCGATCGAGTGATCCCTGACGGCAGAAAGAATACATCGAACGCTGCCGCGAAGAGAAGGGGCATGCGCAGATGCCGAGCACCGGCTCAGCGGAGCCGGAAAGGACATGGCCGGGCCGGAAGCAGGCGAAGCTGCGTGCCTTGGAGGAGATTCCCACCACCACCGAACGCCGGAGAAATAACACCTCGCCGAGTCCGGAGACCCGACCAAGCCGAGCCGAGCCGACGAAACAACAGTGACAACCACCACAGGGGGGTGCCGGTAGGCTGTCCCATCCCTATACACTCACTGTGGCCCTAGTTAGGATAAATGGGTGATTAGCACCAAGAAATTGTAAGCCGCTCAGAGACCCCTAGCCACGGGGTTCGAGCGGGGTATCAAGCTGAATGTTAAATAAATAAATAAATCAGCTCATTCAGATATTCCCAGTTCCTTCCCTTCTACATAGATAACCAAACAGACACAAGGCAGTACAGCTATCAGTTTCTGAATATGAGGTTACAAACTTTGTACTTACAGTGGTCTTTGCAGCAGTAAATAAAACGGAATCTACAAGGAGGAAGGGATGGTTAATTTTAGACAAAATGCTGGTCTAGAACGGTTTCCTTTTATGTAGGGTTCGCTTTTCTGCTGCCTGCCTTTCTGTTTTAAAAAAACTGTTAGTAATATTAATGCTACAGTCCGGGATGTACAGCTAAACTGGATCATAATCCACCACCACGTGTTCCTGTACAAGCAGAAAATGATCCAACACTTACTGGTGGATACTCCGAACCAGTGTTCCCTCTAAGCTGAGTTAGTGTAAGCTAGCTCACAGTTTTTTAGCCTGTGGCTCAGACATTTTTATCTTAGCTCAGGAAGGAGGGCTCCAGAGCAAACTGATTTATTCAGTAGCCAAATTGCTCACTCACAACTTTAATGCTAGTAGCTCACAAAGTAGAATTTTTACTCATGAGACTGTACGGCTTAGAGGGAACATTGCTCCGAACATGTGATGTTAGGTAATGATCCTTTACATCTCTCCCTGTTATATTTGCAGCCTCCCTCCACAATCGCTGATTAACTTATAAACACGTACTGTTTTCACCATTATATGTTTAATTCACTTTGGATGTACTCCCGGACTCCTGTAAAGGAAACACAGTAAGAACATTAATTTCGACTCTCCTAGCAATTGCCAGAATAATAGTTGCACAGAAATGGAAGGATAAGAGTAGCTCTATCTTATCCAGCTGGCAAAACAAGTTATGGGAACGTTTTGTTTGTGGGAAAATAACGTTTCCTCGAACACACTGGAACGCTAAAGCATTCCGAGCAGTATGGTTCCCAGTGGTTCAATACCTTGCAAAGGGAGAAGTAATTCCTAAAAACAAACATTACCAAGAATTGTTCTATTTCTCAGAGTTAAAAAGGTAAAGGTAAAGGTTCCCTTGCTCGAAAGCCAGTCGAATCCGACTCTAGGGTTGCGGTGCTCATCTCCTTTTCAAAGCCGAAGAGCCAGCACTGTCTGAAGACGTTCCTGTAGTCATGTGGCCTGCATGACTAAACACGGAACGCTGTTACTTTCCCATTGAAGTGGTACCTTTTTATCTACTTGCAATTTCTTGCTTTCGAACTGCTAGGTTGGCAGGAGCAGTTAGAAACAGGTTATTTTAGAGTTATGGGTAGTTCAAGTTTATGCCACAGGTATGCTATTGCCAATCTTGTCATGTTGTTTTCATGTGAGGCTTATTGTTGTAACAGGTTATATTTTATGGTTCTGATAAATAAATATTTTTTAAAAAATATGTTTAATTCACTTTTTTCCTCTCCTGAAAATCAAACATGTATAATGGGAAGAAAAGGGTTGGATTTGAACATGTTCCTGTTACCAAAGCAAACATAGGTAACGCAAGCCTCCTCCATGTTTCACTTGTAAAGTTAAAGGTTCCCTTGCTCGAAAGCCAGTTGAGTCCGACTCTAGGGTTGCGGTGCTCATCTCCGTTTCAAAGCCGAAGAGCCAGCGCTGTCCAAAGACGTTTCCGTGGTCATGTGGCTGGCATGACTAAACACCAAGGCGCACGGAACACTGTTCCCTTCCCACCGAAGTGGTACCTATTTATCTACTTGCAATTTCTTGCTTTCGAACTGCTAGGTTGGCAGGAGCTGGAACTAGAGACGGGAGCTCACTCCGTCATGCGGCACACTCTGGTCTCGAACTGCTGAACTACTGACCTTCCACAGCCTGCAGTTCAGCGTCTTAACCACTTGAGCCACCGCAGCTCCTTGTTCCACTTGTACAGGGATGATAAAACATGGCACAGGATCATACTGAAGGCAATTTTTACTGTCTCCAAGTAAAAACATAGTTAAGTAATTGTAGGAGATACTCACTCTGGTTATGGGAGTAAGAGCCCTAAGATACTTATTTCATGTGAATTGTAATATCCTCATTTCAACTGCAAAGCTCGGTTGACTTTCATCTACTTATTTTTAATATCCCAATATTTCTTTACACCATACATACCGCAGGAGGAAATGCAGAGTGTGTGTATGTGTCAGATAAGATGTATCTCATGTCCTCTGCGACTGGCTTCTAAATAGTTAGGGCTCATTTTTAGCCATCATAGCTGGCCCTGAAAACAGTGTTTCCTTGTCCTTGCCATCTTAATTTCACGAATGACTTTGGGTTCTGTCTTTTCTCTAGACATGGAAAATGTCCCCTGGTTCCCTAAGAAGGTTTCCGATCTGGATAAATGTGCAAACCGTGTTTTGATGTATGGATGTGAACTGGACGCTGATCATCCAGTGAGTATCTTTGTGTGTGGTTGTCTTGCACGGTTCTCGTGGCTTAAAAATCTAATCTAATTGTGAAAGTCTAATACTTTAGAGTTGCAGTCTGTTATAAAAGTTAGTTACAAGTAAACGTACTGATACTTGAATCACACAGGCTGTGTTGGGGCTCTGCAAATATGCGGAAAAACAAAACTTATTTCGAAATATGCCCACAGAATGTTGGAGGTACCCAATATGGCCAATAATTGGTGTAACTTTGGCTTTGCTTTACACAGATGGGCATGCACGGGTTCTAATGTCTCTCAAGTGTGGAAGAGGGAAGTTGTTGAAAGTGGTATTTGGGTGGGGAGACTGAAGCTAGTTGTCCTTCCTTAGATTATGTAGGTTTATCCAAAACACAAGCAAAGAACAGAAAAAGGAAATGCATACATTATTCCAAGGAATGAAAATTGACAGTGCAAAGAACTAAAAACAGATTCTTATTTTCAGCGGAGTTTATGCAGTTTATTTTTAGGAGTCCACATTTACTAAACTGCTAATCCATACTCTTAACAAATGTATTTCATTTCAAAACGCATTTCAAAAATGAGTTCACAGGTTCCTGTTGTATCTGAGAGATTCCCCCCCCATGTCACAAAATTCTCCTCTTTCTCATAGCTGCTTTGATAGAACAAAATTAACACCTGTTTCTTTGTGACACAAACATGTTACCACACAGACTGACCTGAGTTTTTATTTTTATTTTATTCCATTATTAGGGTTTCAAAGACAATGTTTATCGCAAGAGGCGGAAGTATTTTGCAGACCTGGCTATGAATTATAAACAGTATGTGTCAATGACTGGTAAATAAGACAACTTTTGCTATAAAAATTTGGGGCAGATCCACTGAAGGTAGTTGGTATAGCTATGGTCTCCCCCTTCTCTGAGTGACTGGAAATTCAAGGCAGATTTTACAGGGTATGGGTAGATTATAAGAGCCAACCTAGCAGTTCGAAAGCAAGAAATTGCAAGTAGATAAATAGGTGCCACTTCGGTGGGAAGGTAACAGCGTTCCGTGCGTCATGCCGGCCACATGACCACGGAAAGGTCTTCGGACAGCGCTGGCTCTTCGGCTTTGAAACGGAGATGAGCACCGCAACCCTAGAGTCGGATTCGACTGGCTTTCGAGCAAGGGAAACCTTTACCTTTACCTTACTGGAGCTGTAGGGTGGTGGTTTTGCTATCATCTATTGTTGAACATATTGTGGAATACAGAATATACAGTTCCACACCAAACTCAGTTTAGCACCCCCAAAACTGAAACAGTTTTCCGAAAAGATCTCTTGGCATCCCTACAAGAACAGGCAAAATGGCTTTAAGCTCTCATCTGTTGGCTCATGGTACACATTGTTTGGCTAATCCTTCAATTGGGATGATTTTACCACATTGTCCACTGTTTGCACAAACGACAAGCTAAACTAAAGCTGAGATGGGGCACATCTCTCTATTCTACATGACAATAACATGGGCATTAGGGATATTCGTTTCCATCAGTCCAATGTGAGGGTGGAGAAAGGAGTGGTTGTAGGGGAAAAGAGAAGGGAAACAATTGTTGTCCTCTTCTTCTTTACTTTATCCCCCCACCTCTTTAGAACAGTGGTTTCCAAACTGTACTAAGGAACGGTAGGGTTACTAGGATTTCTGTGATGGAAAAAAAACCACTTGCAAATAATTAATTATCTCTAAATTAAAGATGACTCCAAATGCCTTGAGAATGGACTGGCATGAGCATGTGGCAGGAAACAGATAAAAGATACAGTAGGGCTGTCACACCCCTTTTACCTCCTAGAAAATCCAGGAAACTTCTCTTCAAGATTTGTGGTGGTGAAGCCCAAGCCCACTACCTCTGAACATATGTCACTTCCTTTCCTTGGTAATTAACACTGGACATGGCAGAGCCCAGCATCACAGCTGATACACTTCCCGCAGGGCTCTTTTTGTAGCGGGAACTCCTTTGCATATCAGGCGACACCTCCCCTAATGTAGCCAATCCTCCAAGAGCTTACAGAGCTCTTCTTGCAGGGGCTACTGTAAGCTCTTGGAGGATTGGCTCTTTTTGTAGCAGGAGCTCCTTTTCATATTAAGCCACACACCCCTAGTGTAGCCAATCCTCCAAGAGCTTACAGAGCTCTTCTTACTGGGGCTATTGTAAGCTCTTGGAGGATTGGCTACATCAGGGGTGTGTGGCCTAATATGCAAAGGAGCTCCTGCTACAAAAAAAGCCCTGCTGACTTAAGACCGAGAGTTCAGGGAATGGGGATTCTCAGTACCTACTGAGATTGCTGTAGCTCCTGACTATGATGAGTGTACTGGCTTGCAGGCTCTGAGTAACAAGTTTCAGAAGTCAGGCGGGGCATAGTCGCTCAGTCCGAAGTCAGGGTTCCAGAAATCAGGCTAGGCAAGGTCGTTCAGTCCAAGGTCAGGCTTCCAAGAATTAAGCAAGGCAGAGTCAGTGGCTTAGCGTCTATTGTACGCATTGCATCGATGCCTAACAGCCTTTCTTGGCTGATTTTTATAGCCCGTGCCTATGGGTCATGCTTGCAGTTCTGTTCTCAGCCTCTGTCTGCGGTGCCCTAAGGGTGTAGGAGATAGAAGAGAAGAAGAAGAAGAGATTGGATTTATACCCCGCCCTTCACTTGGAGTCTCAGAGGGGCTTACAAACTCCTTTCCCTTCCCCTCCCCACAGCAGACACCCTGTGAGGTGGGTGGGGCTGAGAGAACTCTGACAGAAACTGCTCTTTCAGGAACAGCTGTGCCAGAGCTTGTGACTGACCCAAGGTCACATCAGCAGGTGCAAGTGGAGGAGTGGGGAATCAAACCCGGTTCTCCCAGATTAGAGTCCGCACACTTAACCACTACACCAAACTGGCAGATACTGGTGGGCTGTGGAAACGGCTGAGATCCACCCACTGAATCAGGGCTGGTGGGTGTTGGTGGCTCTGCACCAGCTGTTGGCTGTGAATCCTGACAAGCCTGCATCTCATTCACTTGCTGGTCAACTTCTGTTAATTCAAGGCTGGCTACACGGGGCTCCTCTTCTCATGACTGAGATCCACCCACTGAATCAGGGCTGGTGGGTGTTGGTGGCTCTGCACCAGCTGTTGGCTGTGAATCCTGACAAGCCTGCATCTCATTCACTTGCTGGTCAACTTCTGTTAATTCAAGGCTGGCTACACGGGGCTCCTCTTCTCATGAAGAATCCTCGCTATTGCTGAGCCCTGGCTGACCCATGACAGTGAGCCAGCCAGGAATCTACTAATGGATTGGGAATCAGTGTTCCCTCTAAGCTGAGTTAGTGTGAGCTGGCTCACAGTTTTTTAGCCTCCGGCTCACACATTTTTGTCCTAGCTCAAGAAGGATGGCTCCAGTGCATACTAATTTATGCAGTAACCAAATTGCTCGCTCACAACCTTAATGCCAGTAGCGCACAAAGTAGAATTTCTGCTCACAAGACTCCACAGCTTAGAGGGGACATTGATTGGGATGTACCTGTTTTCCACCCCTGCTCCAATACGTACACCGCTTTTCCTTTCTGAGAATCTTTGTGAATGTTGCTCTTACATCTCATTGCAGTGGTGACCCAATTCCAAAAGTTCAGTTCACTGAAGAGGAGACCAGCACTTGGGGCACTGTGTTCAGAGAGCTCCAAAAGCTTTACCCAACCCATGCCTGCAAAGAGTATCTTAAAAACCTACCTCTGCTAACTAACTACTGTGGGTACCGAGAAGATAACATACCCCAGCTGGAGGATGTATCATGTTTTCTAAAAGGTAATATACAGATCTTTGTCTTGTAAGCTGTCCCAGATGAGGCAGTGCTGTCAGTACAGTGTAGCTGGATAAAGGAATACAGATTAGAGAAGAACATAAGAACATAAGAGTCGCCAATGTTGGATCAGGCCAAAGGCCCATCCAGTCCGACACTCTGTGTCACACAGTGGCCAGAAATACCAGGTGCCATCAGGAGGTCCACCAGTGGGGCCAGGACATTAGAAGCCCTCCCACTGTTGCCCCCCCCCCCAAGCACCAAGAAGACAGAGCATCACTTGCCCCAGAGCCCCTATCTATACCTTGTGGCTAATAGCCACTGATGGACCTCTGCTCCATATGCTTATCTACTTCCCTTTTGAAGCCATCCATGCTTGTAGCCCCCACCACTTCCTGTGGCAGTGAATAAAATGATTACATTTTATAAAATGATTACATTACTGATACTAGGGTGTCAGGTGAAAAGTCTTGGAAGAAAGATTATCATCTCAACCTACCAGTATTTTATAACAAAATGAAGCCCTGTCTCAGTCAGTAAAGCATTATAACTAGCAGTTGATTGTCAGAGGGCAGCTTGAACCATTTCTATAGGTTATGTCAAAATACACAAAATGTTTTTCCGTTCCTCAATTCACTATTATTTGATAAATGTCCACTCCATATTTTCCCTGAACAAAACAATGTACAGTAAAATCATGAATCAGAAAACAATCATAAGCACAGCATAGAGCCAGTCATAAAAGCTCTTCAGCCATATTGCATAGCAACACAAAATTACGAGATATAGCCAGATCCACGGTATTGTCCAAAGGACTAACCACTTTGGTTTCAGAGAATGCTGTAAATAAGTAAACAACCACCCACAGTCCTGACAAGTTAAAGGGCGATTTCGCACTAGAGCAACCGCCGTTTGCCCCGACACTATTTGTCAATTTCACACCTGAGGCTGCGGGGCTGCATTTGACCCACGGTTTCGCCCGATTTCCTCCGCAGTTTCGTAATCCTCAGAAACCAGGATCACGAAACTGCGGAGGAAATTGGGCGAAGCCGCAAGTCAAAATGCAGCCTTGCAGCTTCGGGTGTGAAATTGACATGTTTGTGTCGGGGCAAACGGCGGCTGCGCCGCGAGGCAGCTCTAGTGCGAAATCGCCCAAAGTCACCTTAGCAAACCAAATGGCTTGTTGAATTTCCAAAGGGAGAGCATTGGAGACCAGTGACGGTCTTAAATGTAGACGAATAACCTTAAGGCTAAAAGCATCTTTAAGGAGATCCATCACTGGATTTCCCAGCATTTTAAAAAACACATATAAAGCCAAGGATTAGAGCTACACTGGAGATCTCTCAACAAGCTGGACCTTAAAATGCAGCTGCAGTGAGTAAATCTGGAATGCCACTCTCGCCATGGAGTTAACATTTCTCCCCCAAACACCATTTCCTTGACCCAAATCACTGCCCTCTCATGGCTGCTTTCTGGTGGAACTAAACAGATACAACTGCAGCTTCCCCATGCAATCAGTTGGCATAAAAAGAAGGGGGAGCAAAAATGACTTTGAGACCAGAGGAAAGTAGACGTTAACCCTTTCCTCATGTTCTTTTTAAAAATGGAAACTGGCTCTCTGAAACTGCTGTTAGTTTGGGTAGGAAGAGCCTCCCTCCATTAGGGGGTACTAACCCAAACTGACTCTGCATACTGATGGACTTACCTTTTATTTATTTGTTTCGTTATGTGAAATATTTTCGTGCAGCTTTTCCACCCAGTTTAGTGTCTGCAGGGCAGTGAACAATCGAAAACATTAAAACAAGCTTTAAGATACACAGTATAAAACAATTAAAAACAAACAACAATTAAACACAGTTAAAACATACAGGTAGGAAGGTCAGTGAGACTAAATAGATAAGTCTTCACCTGGTGGTGGAAGACAATGATAGACCAGAACAGATGAATCTCCCCAGCAGAAAGAATTCCATAATTTTGGTGCCATGACCTCTCGGGTTTTGGTGCTATAAAACCCTTACTCAGGTTGTCTCTCATCTAGTCTCAGACAACAGGGGCACCCTACGAAAATCCCCTGAAGATTACTGTACTGGTTGGGTAGGTGCATACGGGAGCAATGTTGCCTCTAAGCTGTGCGGCTGAGCGGCCGCTCATTAACACAGGAAGCCCTGCTCAGCAGCAGTCTGGAGCCATGCAGAGTCTTGTACTGCCCATTGCTCATTTTAAGATCACAGCAGTTATATTCTGCTTAGGACATGAACTTGTCTGCTCAGGGGGGGGGGGATATAGAGGGAACATTGCATGGGATCCAGGCTGGTTTGATCTGGAGGTTTTTTGTCATCTTCTGGGTGTGGAACAGTGGTCACTGTGAGGTTGGAGGGGGAGGTATTTGTGAATTTCCTGCCTTGTGCAGGGGGTTGGACTAGATGACCCTGGAGGTCCCTTCCAACTCTATGATTCTATGAGCCCTGCTTTGCAAGGTAGGGCGGTTTAAAAATCTAAATAAATAAATAAATAAAGTACGGTCATCCCAGGCTGCATAGAACTTAAAAGCACAAGCACCTTGAATTGGGCCTGGAACCTCGTTAGGAGCCAGTGTAGGTGGAACAAGACTGGACTGATGGGGTTCCTATGACCTACTCCAGTCAGCATTCTGTCTGCAGCATTCTGTACCAACTATAACCTCTGAACACCCTTCAAGGGAGATCACCTCCCTTAGTGTCTGCTCTAGGACTACCTAGATGTCACTTACATAGCATCTTGTTGACTAAATTTCTTTGGGATTTTCTAAACCTTTCTGTGTATCTCTTGCCAAGTTATCAGGCTCAGCTTTCTCCTGAGCAACCTGGCAAAGGGCCTGCAATTTCTCTTTCCTTAACCTTCTCTATCTGCCCCACATGTCTTTATGCAAGGTTCCCATCTGGAGGCCTACAGAACCCTCCATGGGGCTCCAGTTATCTAGTCTCTTGTGTAGTCTATCAATGTGCATACTTGCTCAAAATTGGGGTTTATTTGCAAGTTAGTGAGCTCAGGATCGCAGTTTTAATGTCACTTCCATTATTATCTATTTTTGAATGCTATAACATCAGTAATGGTTTTTTCTCCCCTAGAACGCACTGGTTTTACCATCCGTCCTGTTGCTGGATATCTGTCACCCAGAGATTTCTTGGCAGGCTTAGCATTCAGAGTATTTCACTGCACTCAGTATGTTAGGCACAGTTCGGAACCTCTTTACACACCAGAACCGTAAGCGGCTATTTCTGTGCTTTATGTTTGTGACTAACTGCTTGGCAATAAGGACAATACTAAATCGAGATGTGCTTTACAAAATCTAGGTTTGAGTATCTGGGTTTCAAAAATATCTTAGCTCTCATAAGTTTCCAGTGTGTGGGGTTGGGGCAACCTTGAAACTGAGGATTTGCAAATAAATAAATAAAAAATAAATCTAACACTGACCTAGTTCTTGAAAGACTGTTCACATGGTTCAGCATGACTGAAGAAATGAAAGTGATCTTAGATCCGTCATCTTAGTATAAAAACCAGGACAGCAGGACATGAAAATTTAACCACAGATTTTCAAAAATTTCATTGTCGTGAAGCACACTGAATTAGAAAACGAAGCACAAACCTCCTGCAGCTCCTTCCAGGGCTCTTTTTGTAGAAAAAGCCCAGCAGGAACTCATTAGCATAATAGGCCACACCCAACAGCAGAAATTCATTAGCATAGTAGGCCACACCCCTGCCAGCACAGCTCATTAGCACATTAGGACGCACCCCCATGTTACCAGAAGTGTGGTCATCCAGCCACACCCACCTTTTGATTCTTATTCTGTTTACCTTGTTTGTGGTCAAAACCCAGGGCTTTTTTTTTTGTAGCAGGAACTCCTTTGCATGTTAGGCCACACACCCCTAATGAAGCCAATCCTAATGGATTTCTGCTGTTGGGTGTGGCCTATTATGCTAATGAGTTCCTGCTGGGCGTGGCCAACTTGGGAGCCAGCCGGAACTCCGTTCCAGTGCGTTCCTGCCCCCAAATAGCCCTGTCCTTAACTCTTGGAGTTGTTCACCAAGCAGGAAGGCCTATTTTAAAACTGTCATCTGCATTATTGTATCATGCATTTTTTTTTTACTGTCTGAGCCATTTCACATGGGTACTCAGCCTGACCTTCCCCCCCCTTGTGGTATAGAGAGAGGCACGTACTACTCCTACCCCTATTCCACACACATAGTCTAATGAGAGTGTTCCATTTGAAGGTTCGCATCTTGTGGCCTCTATCCTTTTTTGAAAGAGGATGGAGAAATTAAACTCATGCCTGTGCATACCGGCCTCCCCATAGAGCCCGAGTCAGGTTATGTCTGTATGACACCATTTCTATCATAAGAAGATGATTGACATTCCTGCCCAAAAATAGCCCTGTACCTTAACTCCTCGGTATACTGGAGTTGTTCACCAAGCGGGAAGGCCTATTTTAAAACTGTCATCTACATTATTGTATCATGCATTTTTTTTTTAGTGTCTGAGCCATTTCACATGGGTACTCAGACTGACCTTTCCCCCCCTTGTGGTATAGAGAGAGGCACGTACTACTCCTACTCCTATTCCACACACATAGTCTAATGAGTGTTCCATTTGAAGGTTCGCATCTTGTGGCCTCTATCCTTTTTTGAAAGAGGATGGAGAAATTAAACTCATGCCTGTGCATACCGGCCTCCCCATAGAGCCCGAGTCAGGTTATGTCTGTATGACACCATTTCTATCATAAGAAGATGATTGACATGCTAACCATGTGAATGCTGTTTTTATGGGAATGTTTTTGTAGTGTATTCAAAGCTGCCTTGAATGCATGACATGTTGTGAAACATCTAACTGAAGTGTAATGTAAAGCTTCGTCCTGGGCTAGGATCCAAATCCATCCAATCTTGTTACTAGCCCAGGAAGCACCTAACCAATCACCTTCTAGCAAGCTCCCTGAGCAGGAACATCCGTGATTGGTCCTTATGTGAACAACCTTATTGGTTGGGATTTGTGCAGTGGGTGTGGCTACATTAGCCGGGAATGTTTAAAAGCAGGACAGCTGCAATGTAAAGGCTGTTCTGGCTATCAGATGTCGATCCGTGTTGGAGTTGTGTTCGAGTTGAAGAATAAAGCTGTGTTCTTGCTGAATCACTCTCCGACTGCTTTGTTAAGTGAGCGACTTAACAGGGTTTTTTTTATTAAGAGTCAGCGTG